AGTGGAGGCAGTCTTGTCACAGACAAACTGCAGCAGTTTAATTTCAATGTCATCCTTTTCTTGGTCTGTCAGAAGAATGTCCAGGGATGATGTCATGTGTTCTTAAGACATTTTATGTTGGAGTCATGTCGCAGGTTTGGGTCCAAGGCACTGAGGCTTTGTGGCACTTTGTTGTCCAATGGAAGCTTGTTGAGGGGTTGCTTCCCAGCAGGCAAATATGCACTCTTGGGTTTTGTTATGAGTAATTTTTTTAACTTATCTGATTCGGGTAAGTCCTTCATTATTTTTCTTTTTAAAGATCGCATTGGCAGGCAGTAGAATGGGATCTTTGTCCAAATAAAGACGCTTTAGCTTGCTTGGGCTGAGGTCTATGAAGTAGGCCCTATTCACAGTTAACAAAGCAGGACAAAAACATATAGTTTCTCCTGCTCGTAGTGCAGCTTGTGTGTCAATGGGACTTTGGTTTGAAATTTGCAGATATATATTGTTGCAACAATTTATTGAAGTACTCTTAAGTAAATGTGTAAGACAATGATTGTCCATTGCTGCTCATATAACTACCGTTCCGCAATTCTGTGCTTCCGTTTTCTTCCATCATCAGTCCAAGGTTTGTCACCCCGTTGAATAATGAATGAGATTTCTTGCCCTCTTCCTCGGTTGAGGGGTTTCGAATTTCGAAATGGCATCATTGACGGTTTTAGTATACAAGCCTCGCTTGTGAATGGGTTTTAAAACTGAGTAAAAGATTATGTAGACCTCGAGAAGGCGAGCTGTGTTCAAGACATGGCCGTTAGCAGACAGCCAGCAATGCGAAACAAAGCTTTGAGGGTATTTCCCGATATTATGTTTTAAGTCTCAATACAGGCGCAAACAATATTATGCACAGCTATTCAAATTAGTAAGCTGCCTGTAGTAAAACAAGCAACTTATCTTTGCAGCAGTTAATGGCACAAAATTCAAGGTGATTTTAATGAGCGTAGGTTTTCAAAGAAAGAATACACAAACACACACACACACACACACACAAACACACACACACACACACACACACACACACACACACACACACACACACACACACACAGGTTACCCACACACAGCTCAATTTAATTGCGCAAACCAGGCTCATTTTTTGTCTTGCTACCAGCCGAGACCGGATGGGTGATTTCGACCCAGCAATCGTTGTGGCAGTTGCTCTTGCTATCGAAAACGATGATTTCCCACAAAGGAAACGGTCATTGAAATACCACAAAGTTGGTTCATAAACCTGGTCCGTCCCTTTGTTGCTGCCCTGAACGCCAGATGGCGTAATGGGTAGTAAGTAAGTAAGTCCCTGCACCAGATTTTTCTGAGACAAGCGCTTTCTTTAATTCCTTGCGTTAATTTGTTCTGTAGGCCTTGATTTTTTTCTTCTGTTTGGACATCTTTTCTTGTATAAATTTTTGTACTTTTCCTGGAATTTCCAGTCGATACGCCGTAGGTTGCATCTTTCTTCTGTCTGTTGCTGTAATCGTCACACCTCACTTTCCATAGATAGGGCTTGTAAACTTTTGTAAGCCTCGATACTCTCCAATTGAAATGTCTTGTCTTCCTCTTTATCGGACACCCTCGACATGATAACAGTATGAAATCTGGAAGAAAAATGATTATTGCACAATTTAATTGACGGTCGCCACGCACGGTCAATTATATATTGTGCAAGCAAGTAGACTTGCGCCGTAAAATATCAAACTGATTTTGATTGACTCAATCCAATTGTGCAAGTCGTCAATATTCCCCATACACGGTCAATTTAAATTAAATGTCAATAATTTATCGCGTATGGGCCGCTTTAGGCATGTATTGTCCTTCTGTTGCTTTGTCCGTACATTTCATTTATTGGATATTTTATTTTGATAGCTCACATGCCTTGCTTTCCAATATAACTAGATGTTTGAGTGAATTTTGAAATGTGAGAGATTATCTGAGCTAGTGTCACTTTTATGGGGCTACCGTCCTCACTTGTGTCATGCTCAAGAAAAGTGCAGGCTTACTGAGAACTAATGTTCGATATTGGATGTGTGGGAAAAATGTATTTTAAGTATTATTGCCTTCTCTCATATTGTACTCAATCGTGCATGACATTTCCAACCAAAAAAAAAAAATGGAAAGAAGCGTATCTGTGATGAACGAATAAAGATTTCAATTTTTCATTGCTGAACTCAGAGCATTTGTCTCCCCTTATTTGTATGGTTATGTCTTAGGTTATCATTTTGTACCTTTTTATGTCTTGTGTGTGTCTTTTTTTTTTTTTCTTTACAGGTGTCAGAAGTTTTGATAGCATCTGTTACAATTACAATCAGTATCAGTCTGTTCTTATTTGAGTTTTTATAAATATGTCAAAGGATGACTACTTGCTTTCTGTGATGTTACTCAACTTTGATGAATGATAACCACTTACTCATTTTGAACAGTTAATTTTTTGAGGAGTGAAATCATCAAGGCCCGTCTGTCGGCTTTGACTGGCCACAAAGAAGATACAACAGTTGACACCTAAGATCTCATGGCCTTTCATTTTGTTTACTGTAATTGACGTGAAGTCAACTGTATAACTTCAAAGACTTCCTATAGGATTCATGAGATGAACAGCAAAATCGTGAGTCTCTTCAAAGCAAGCTATAAAAACAATGCTAGAAGTTATACAGTTGTACCTCCTTTTTCGGAAATAGATTTTTTGCGGGGTGGGTGGGAGGAGATCAGAAATAGGAGACTCATCATCCTCTCTCTCTCTCTCTCTCTCTCTCTCTCTCTCTCTTTGTCTCTCTCTCTCTCTCTCTCTCTCTCTCTCTCTCTCTCTCTGTCTCTCTCTCGTCCTCATCCCCCCTCCATCCTTACACCCCTGTTTCCTTCTTTCACCTCGATCTTTCTCTATCCCTCTTATCCCTTGCTGTGTGTCTGCCTGTTTGTCTGTTATGCAGTGGCGAGCACCGTAGAACTCTAACTAAACTAAACTGTCTTTCTCTCTCTCTCTCTCTCTCTCTCTCTCTCTCTCTCTCTCTCTCTCTCTCTCTCTCTCTCTCTCTCTCTCTCTCTCCCCCCTCTCTCTCTCATACACACACACACACACATGCACGCACATACACTCGTGGGTGGTTGGCGGGTGCTTTGGTGTTGTTTGCTCCTTTTTTCCTATCAAACATCTATCGTCCTAATCTCTAACATTTTTTCATATTCGGACTCGAGTCCGAACACGAATTTTTTAAATTCAGACTCGAGTCCGAATATGAAAAAATGTTTGTTACTCTCTTGTAACACCTCTAATCTTCTAGCGCTCATATGACCGTATGCAGTTGCGAGTGCCGTAAAACCTCTACTAAAACTAAAACTAAAACATATCTCCCCCCCCCCCCCCACACACACACATCCACACATCCACAGACAGACGTGGGTGGTTTGAGAGGGCCACTGGTAGGTCCTACTTCTTTACTTTCCCCTCTGTTGTTTCTGTCTGTCTGTCTTACTTTTTTTCCCCAGCACTAAATGACCATTATTGTGTCGATGTGCTTCTCGTTACTCCAACAGACAGACAGACAGACAGACAGACAGACAGACAGACAGACAGACAGACAGACAGACACAGGGAAAGGAGTAGTGGTCATTGTACAGGTGATTGTCTTGGACAGGTAGCCGTTAAAGCAGGTTTGACTACTTCTACTTTCTCTATTTTACGGGGTAAGTTTTTACATTTCAGCAAACACTGCCAACAACTGCGTGGGGTAATTCGGGTTAGGTCCGTAACTGTTGAACACACAATAACAATATTATGCAAGTTTGAATCGGATCTGTCTGTCTTATTTTGTATCATTATCATCGTCTTTCTGGTGGGGTGCTGATACTCACTCTGCCAGAGTTGGCCTTGGCTCACATTGAAGGAGCAGCCTGCTTGAATCTCTCTATCATTATCCAAATTGTGTCGATTGGGGCATAGGGCATAGATCTATCTACAATTAAATTCAATTACAGCGCTGAAATTCGACAATATATTCATAATAATATGCATTCTGGCACACGCCTTTAACTCCATAACCTGCGACTGTTGTCTACTATAGTACAATTCTATAGCCTAACGATTTAGTTTTAGTAAACGTTTTACCAGTCTGTGGAAGAGCCATTGGAAAAAAACAAACAAAAACAAATAACAAACTGCACAACTGAGACCGCGAAATTCTTCGGGCCTCTCCAGAAGAGACGAAGTTATTTATACTCGATGACGCATCGGACACACGGCCCTAACTCACAAATACCTCCTTCAGGTAAAAGAGAAGCCGTTCCACAGATTTTACCATTAGACACATTTTAACCGAATGTCTACTCTAGACTTCGGAGAGACACGAAGGAGATATTTTAAATGCAAAAAATTGCAAGACATTTTTTCCGTCGTTGTTCCCAACAGAATTTTTGGCCTTTATTTATTTAGGAAAGTTGTTTTCGATTGAAAATATATATTTACACAGAATTTTAAATATTGTAACATTTTAAGATCTAACTACTGACCCGAACCCAGCCGTACAGTGAACTGTTGCGAGTAGAACTAACTTGTGTTTCGCGCGCTCATATGACCTTATGCAGTTGCGAGCGCCGTAAATCCCCATACTAAACAAACAAACAAACGTTTTACCCACAAATACGGACGCCAGATTGGATTAAGAATAAGCCAGAGAATGGCCGGTCATATGAGTGCCGAAGATAAGAAGTGTTAATGTTACTAACATACAAAGAAAAGAGGGGGCCGGGGGGAGAAAAGGACGACGGAATATATGTTTTATTATAGAAAAGAAGGAGCAAACCACACCAAAGCACTCGCCAACCACCCTCTCTAATCTAAAACATGTATATAATCAGATCCGTGTACTAATGAATACCTTTGATATTGTTATTCCTTAGGACTTATGCTATTGTTGATATTATATTCTATGGTCAAACAATAATAACGGACGTGTAAAATAGAAGAAAGTAAACAATCACGGGTTACATTTTTATTTATTGAAAAATAACGTCAATTTCAGGAATGTCAGGGCTACACTAGAACCGTTTGTCATCAGTTGACTTTGGTTCACATTATTACAACATTCAAATGTTAATCATAACAAAGAAATGAATAAATTATTTAATACCTTAATACATTAATTAAACATATAAATATATGAATTAACTAATGTTTTTAAAGAACCACAATCAGTAGCACAAACATGAATTTTTGTCTCAAGATCGATTCTTAAAAGTAGGTAAGTGTACTTTGAAAATTATTTTGATTTTGATAAAATTATATATTCATTTGAAAATCCCAGTACTTGGACCTTATATGGCAAAACGAGTGAAAAAATGTAGGGGATGGAAATATAATATTCTGCTTATCCAGAATTAGTTATGGGAGGTCAATGAAAGCCCAGACCAGGAGAAAAAAAACAGTTGCCTGAAGTGGTTTGTAATGCGATGATTGACATCTATAAAATGAGTCACCACATACCATTGCACAAAATTTAAACAATACGTTTTGTTTAAAACAAGTAAATAGAATTGCCGTCACAGATAAGGGAATGTCACAGGTGAATGAATTGGTCTTATCAATTTGGGCCTGACTGTTAAATGTAGCGTGACCTTTTACTAAGCAATGTTTCAAAATTTGCAACATGTATTGCACCTCGTTTTATACATGATATATGTTGAACCATATCACTTCAATCCATAATATAGACCCCTATATATATCACAGAACCTGACAAAGTATTACAGGTACAGTCGGTCTATCTTGCTTTTTCTCGTTTGCTAAATCATGGCTGTTGTGTCAAGTGCTGCTCTTTACAAAAATGGAACTAGACTGCATCATTTATACAGCCAGCTTTAAACACAGAATAGTAAATTTGGGGGGGGGGGCAGGACTCCCAGGCCAGAATCCATCTCTGAAGAATAGCGACATATTATCTATTTCTATAACATCATTTTGACACATTTTGTATCCCCCCTCTACCAGATGAAAACTTTATGTCACATGAAAAGCTGTAACTTAATCAGAATGAACAACAAACAGATTGAAACAGTTTTATAGAGTCGAGAGTCCACTTAAACTGAACTCAGTTAATCTGAAAATGGCGGTTAAACTGGAGAAAATAAAATCCTCAATCTTTTAATCCTTCTATTTGAGTAGTGATCTCTCTAAACCAAAAACCTGACTTAACCGATGAAAATCCAATGGTTCAGCACATTTCGGTCTAACTTCAAGACTCCACTGTATATGAGTTTTGACTGTGAAATGAATACATTTTTCCTTCACTCTGACTGCACTAAAGTAGGCCAAAAAGATTTAAATCAGAAATTCTAGGCAAACTACCAGCTCAGTTGGTGTTGAATCACCCTGCAACATGGAACAGCTTAGATGACCCCAATTTTAATTTGTATCCGGGACCTCAATTTTTTTTAGGAGATACATTCATCATAACTTAACAATACATGTATCAGTGTTGAAAAGGGTGATTAACTCGTGTAAAACAACACAGCCATATCATTGAATATCAAGAAGAGGGTTTTTTTGTGTCTCCTCTGAAACTAGAAATTTGTAGGTAGGCTGATTCTTTTTATATATGATACTGGAGATGTCAAATCTAAGAATTAAAAAACTCCCCATGAGAATCAAAAACAATTATTTTGCTGGCACAGAATACGATGCATTACTGGTACATGCTAGAAAAAGCTCAATAAAATAATATTTAAATCACGAATATGGCAAAATCAAGGTTTATGATGTTTTGGATCACATCGGCAATAAGTCTAATTGACAACATTGTACGAGTAATAGAGCAGGAACAAAACCAAAACCAAAAGTTTCGTCCATTGCGCCAGGCTCAGTGGAGTCACTTGCTTTCCTCACAAAATCTTGTCACTTTTTGGCTTGGTCTGAAACAATGGGAAGTGAAATAATTAATAAGAGACTTTTAGGAGAAATTTGATTCCCTCTGACTCCCGTTTCTAGGGATTTTGTTCCACATTTTTGTTGTTCTAAATTAAAGTAGAGTTTGTGTTATGTTTCACTTCTTCGTCATAAGTTTATCATGTAATGTTTCATGCTTGTCTTGTTGTTGTGTTAAAGTTAGGCCTACCTGTTCCAGTAAGGACAGTTCTTACTTTACATAGCCTACTAGATCTACATGTATATATATTTTTATTTTCAGAAAATAAAAAAAAATGTTTAAGAAAAATGAAAATGAAAATATACAGTACATATGTACAATAGGATCTGACCTATGTCTCTGGAGGACTTCAACATTAATCCTTCGACATGGAAGAGCCTTGCTCCTAAGGGACCCAGCTGGAGAGCATGTAGCTGTCACAGTGGGCAGCAAATTATATGAGGCTTCGTGAATAGGAACAAGAGATGCAAAAATAGATTGCATGAAAGTAGAAAAAAGGTTGAGGGCCACACTGGGCCACCTTTTCCAAAAATAACAGTTCAAATTTTACAAGAACATGGGAATCCACTAAAGCAGAATTCCGCGGAACACTTGTCTTCGATTAAGCGGTGTTTTTGGTTCAGCAAGATTGCTCAAATAGCCTAGAAAAGAATTGGGGATTCTACTTTCTTTCTGTTTAACTCTTTTTTCACATTAATGATGTTCAGTTTAAGTGGCCTCCACCAAACATACTTTGGGGAGGGGGGGGGGAGAATTAATAAAACCGCTCTACATAGCAACTCTGTTAAGCTCAGATTTTAAAATAGAACATTTTCAGGATTTTTTTGTTTATAAATATCAATCCAACAATTGTGCTCATTATGTCATTAACCTCATATAGTTTCATTGCCTTACTTGTTTGTAAGCCTTTAAGTTTTGTTAGTTCTCCTGAAATTTTTCATGAGTTTTTAGCACAAGACATGTTCATCTCGACCAAAAACTTTCAAGTTTTTTAAACAGTATTTTTTATGTTTCATAACATTTTAGTTTAACTCATCCCTAAAGTCACTTTACTAACTAAAGGACAATCCATTTCTCTGCGGAAAAAAAACTGTAGGTTAGAAGCTAAAGATCTGAAGCAATATGAATGGTTCGACATATAAATGTGATGAACGCCATTTCCAAAGTTTGTCTGAAACTAGTACCATTGTATTGAGAAAGGTGAGGCACATGCACGGGCCAACTTTATTTTTCAACAAAGGTGATTTTTCCTCTTTATAAAACTGCAGAAAGTGACTTTTTTGTGCTGTTTTTTTTTAAAACAAGTTTTTTAATGTAACAAAAGCAGTAGACCTCTTTTGACAAACCATGAAATATCCTCTATGTGTCAATCTCGTTGTTTGCTCCAGTCACGCGACTTCGCTTGTGGTAGACAAAAGTTTGTATGCGGTTCTTTCTGTTCCATATTATAGTAACGCGGATAAGCTGCCTTTTGTCAAAAATGTGTGGAGATCTCATCAAGTTAAACGATAAGAATCCAACTTGGATTTTATCATGCAACAAATATCAATTAAGGCTTACATCATGTCTACTCTAAAAACAAAATTGCTCAAGATTATTTAGTAAATGTGTGAAGTACAGAATTCTTCATTTTTCTCAAAACAGAAAAACGAATATGTCACGTAACTGTTCGCATATTCTCACATAAGAATTTTTCTTGCTGGTTGTGCAGCTCATAACACGTTCCTCTATGTATGCACAGAGTGGACCAATAATAACTTGCATATTTGATCTTCAAGCTTTGAAAATTGTTAGTTTTAGGCTTTTTCTCCACTTTCCAACATGCAAAAAGGCAATAAATTCGAATTTTATCTTTATCATCTTAGTTTAGTCATGAACATAATTATTTTGGTCAGGTGCAAGGATCAACACATAAGACATGTTTCTTAGCAGGTCTACCACAGTATAAAATTACTGACTCCACAGTCTCATTTTTATGAGATATGAAGAATAAATTGAGGCACTGGTAACTGTCCCTGCACAAACACTCATGTGAGGTTGAGAAAAAGGACCTCTGCTTTAATCAATGTCCATATGAACATTACTGACGCAACGGGGAGGAGAGCCTTGAAAACTCCCCAGACAATCCAAATTGAACAAGCATCGTGCAAACCTATCTATTGTCACCCCATGTGATCAGCAAACCACACAAGTGCACCTGCCAACCACCTGTTCAGCATGGGCCAGACCATTAACAAACATTACTGCCCTATCTTTAATTAATTTCAAATAAATATATTTACCAAAAGCACACATGCTTAGACTATTTCAGTCTAGCTCATATACATTCTTAACTTTTGTGCCCTAAACAAAATAAGGATCAGGAATGTGATGTGAAGATGTGAGTACAGTGTGCAATAACAGGAAGAAATAATATGAGAAGAAATATGTTACTTTCACAAGCACCAACGATACTTCAGGGTTTTCAAACCAAAGGTGTTTTTTTGTTACATAGAAACAAAAAGAACAACAACCATATTATCAACTGTATTTTCAAAGTGCAGTGTTTGATTTATCACACTCATATCCATTCACTCAAAAAAGTGAAGGATAAGAAGTGGGTCTCATCACCTCTCAGCTGTTGTAAGCAAGTAATAATTTGCTGGGGAAAGTGACGGACAAGGAGCAGGGTTCATTGTCTATGTGTTGTCTCTGAGGTCCATTAAGTAACTTCACACATCACAACATGAATGTCACGAAAAAGTCTGTTTTATTTTATCATTGTCACCAACAACAGACGTGTTTTCTTCAATAAAAATAGAGAAATTACATGTACGTAGGCTACACAAGGTATTTCATTCACGAAAAGATGGCAGTACAGTTTTCATACAACATTAGGTTTCCTCAGGTAAAGGATCATGCTAAAAAGCAACTCAGTCTTAGAATCAGAACCGATACTTTCTCTGGTACATGAAAATATTCTTCATAGATCGACTTTCTCACTATGAGGTATTTCAAAGGACATTTTCTCTTAAATACGAATCACAGAGAAAAAAATGACTTGCTGGACCTGCCACCCTAGAGTATTGAATATACTGTACTCAGTGCAAACTGTCTAATGTCTCTTCTTTTGTCTTTGAGTTTGTTCTTTTCTTTGTGAGACTAAAAAACAGCATATCTATGCAATTTAAATCAATCAGTGCATGGAAAAAGTAAGACAGATAGACAAAAACTGAGTAAAGAAAAGAAAAACAGTAGAGCCCTACCACTGGAGCCCTCCAACTACCCTTTCTTCTCCTTCTTTAAAAAATAATAAACACATTTTAAAAAATACACTTTTATTGTAGCGTACCATGCTATTTGCACACATATCAATAAATTAATTACACTAATTCTTCACATTAAGAAAACGCTCTTAAAAAAAGTAAAGAAGCTCAGTTCTGGCCTGTGATTCCTGAAATGTCAGTAAATATTATAAAGTAATAAAAATATCAGGTGAACAAAAAAACTGTGGGAACTTGGAATGTGTAAATTACTAACACATCCAGAAACAAATACATCAATATGAATTATTTGCTCATGAAATCCATTTCACATTATAGTAAAATCAAAGTGTTTTCCTTCGGAATTATATGATTTTGTATTACAACTGAATTGTGAACTATAGTTTGTAGAAAAACAAATGCATTCAATCAGCTCTGATAATCACATTAAAAATGGTGACACAGAAAACTTTGTCGACTGTTATTGTTAACTGTTAACCTCTTAAAAGTATTTTTATAATACTCTTTAAAAAAGTAAGAGAAAGATAAATTAATGGAAAGATGTCAGAGGCAGAGATAAAAGATCTTTGGTAGATATAATATGTTAAAATTCTGCAGGTCATATACTAATTTTTTGTCAGAATTTGTGATGGACATCTTACAAGACAGCTACTTACATGATTTGTAAAACAAATTGCCATTACAGCTTGGACCACATCATTTTGTTTGCCCACACAAAAACACCCATATGTGTCCAGTACATCCTAAGATCACTCCTCTTCAACTTGTTTCAAACTCTGTGATCTCACCAGCATGAAGCAATTAATATTGCTTTCAGCAATGTGCACAGTTTATTTTTATAATGCTCTAAACTTAAGACTTCCCTTTTGGAACAGACTTACTGAAATGGTGACTAAACCTTCTTGTTAAAAATACATGGTAGGAGTTTATTTATTTTCAAAAAAGGTAAAAAAAGTCATAAAGATAAAGATCAAATTTATTAATTCCCGACTCGGATGTTTGCAAATTTATTCTCAATTACCGTATGGCAAATGAGTCTATAAGAATTTCAAAGCATTTTTCTTAACATCTCATTCATAAGTCATTAGAAGAAAGAAACATTTTTTTGAAAGCATATCCCATATGAACCAAATCACTCATAAAAAGGACAGAGAAGAAAAAATAAAATGCACTTTAAAATTGCTTACAACAATCATGAAAAAAGATTGAGTCAGTTAAATTGGGCTATTAAAGGACTTGATAATCATAACATTTTGGCCATATATGCAACCATGTTTTGAAGACCCAAGCAACAAGTGACCCAAAAAAAATTCCCACAGAAACAACAAGCACAGCTTTTTAAAAAATTCTTAAGAAAATAATGTTAATAAAAATATTTTGTATTTGATCTTAAAAAACACATTTTGTATTGTATCATATTCTATAACATCAGAAAAATAAATAACGTGTGACTTGTGACCAAAAATTCCCATTATGGGAACATTGTCGAGTGCACTGACTGGTAACAGAAACATTTGTACTTGCTCTTGGTGCAAAGGGAGTTATGGGAGCTGGTGGGTTGCACACATATCACTCACAGGTCATGGATAAATAGGTGAAGGCTGGAGAGGTTTTATCACAACAACTGGAATTGGAATGGATATGTGCGGGGGGAAGTTCCACAACAGTTCAAAGTACGTCATAACAAATATTGCTAAGATAACATCTTATTGAAACAAAACTATAACTTTTAAGCTGGGATGATTTTTTCCCATTCTTCAACCAGAATAATTTGAAATAAAACCTGAATATCAAAACCTAGTCTGAAAACATTGTTAGTTTTTTTGTGCCAAACTAAAAGCACACAAATAGCTTCGTTCTTGCTCTAAATAAATCACCAAGCACAATATAATACAGTCTTACCTGAAACAGGCACAGGAAGTATATATTTTATAATTTGTTTTTCTAAATGGATGAACACCGACAAAATGATTTAAGTGCACTAGTAGAAAAAGACAACGGAGAAACTAGAAATTAAAGACTTTGGATGGTCTATCCTTGAGATAAAGTTTCGTTTTTTCCTTTTTTTTCTTGTTTTGGTAAAAGCAACATTAAAATTACATAATCTGAAAGATTCAACTTACAGGTAAGCATAAAATAATAGAGCTTCTACATTGAACATTTGAAACTAATATATCACAATTTAAGACATTAAGACAGAATATTTAGAGTGGTTTGCATTTTTTAAATCCACAGATAGGCAATGGATCCAGTTTCATAAAAAATCTTTATCATTTAAAAAAGGTGGAAAGAATAAAATCTTGAAAAGTTTGAAGGGAGACATTTATTTAAAAAACTTGGCTTGTAAGTGTGCAAAATGTAAACTCACACATTTCAAATTTCCCTTCAAACTTGGAGTTCAGAAAGGGAGTTGGCCACTAAAGACTTAACAATAAATGTATACATGGAGTTATGAACATAGGAGAAGAGTGAAACAATAACCTTGTATTGAAGTCCCATCAAAATAGGGAAATTATTGGTAACGTTCCATCTTTCTCATTATTTCAACAATGTCTATAATTAATTTTCAGCTCAATCTTCAGAGGCAGGGCATACGAACATGGAAAGAAAAGTATCAAAGCAAAGAAAATGTACCCTCTGATATAATGGATATTATCATGATCCTGTAACCACTAAAATCACTCTGGGAGCTTGCAAGAACAGATCAGAGAGAGGATCCATTGCCTGACTGGTGATTCATCACAAAGGTTGCGGGCAAAATTTGTCAAGTGTTACACAGACCACGCACACACAAAGTAGGGAACAAATCAGTGTGAAGACATTATCATTTCTTACTCATAAGTTCAGATTTGATTCTATCGGCGATGGCACGTCTCATTGCCAGTTTCTTCTCCTCCTCAGCATTAGACTGAGCAGCCCCGGACTCTTCTGAGTGCTTCAACGCTGCTCTTGCAGCACGTGCTGAGGCTGGACGTTGTGGCTGGGATTTTTCTGCAGTGAGCAGCTGCTTTTCTCTCTCCTTCCGCTTCATTTCCATCAGCTTGTCACGCTGCTGCTTCAGGAACTCTGCCCTCTTCTTATACTCTTCCTCAGACATTCCTGCCATATTGGCCTGTTGGGAAGAATAAAATTAATTCATGAGTAAGCTACAAAAGCATAGTAGTATTGCATCGGAGCATGAAGAAAAAAAAATATCAAAAAAAGAGAATCTCCACTACTTTAGCTTTCCTATCGCACAAAATAAGAGAGCACAACATCCATGGTGAAAGAATATATTTCGTGTAAAGGACACACAAGTATGTTTACAATATACATTGTTTATTATGGGAATAAAGAAAAAAGGTTTATTCTGAGACTACAGAAAAAAGACAAATAGCAATAGTTTTGCCATACGGTACTCAGGATCACAATGTAATCAGCTACAGTGAGAGGGAAAGTTTTTTTTGCAAGTACGTCTACGTGCTCGTTCATGATTTCCATCCCCAGCATGTTCAGAAACTATTTGTGCGTATATATATCGGCGGCGTCTTCCCCCTCCCTTCCCCTTGTAATAGGGGTGGGGGGGGGGGGGTCATTATGTCATAAAGCCAATAAATGTTGTTTGGTATCCACCTCTATCGCTGCCACTTTTTGGCAAATACGTACTTTGGCGAAGACATCCAAGTTAGGGGTCCAAAGGGAGTACATCATAACAAAGTTTTACTGTACATTTTTTTCAGACAACAGTAATTTAAGTCCAGTCAATCCAGGATCATTTTTCTTTTTTAACATATTAACGATAAATTGTTACTCAAAATCAGCCAATATGCCACCTGTTATTTCAGGCCAAAATCGATGAAATGTTCACACAGTAGGCTTCATAGGATAAATTAGCTTCACAATATAGAATATGGATAAGCACCCGCTCAGATGTTTTTTACAAGCCATGTACAAATTTTACTTTGTAACTTTACTTTTTGTGCTCCACTTCAAGGGAAAAACAAGAACATCCTCAAAATACTGGAATACATTCCGTCAGTCACTACCTATATATGACTATAGCAGATTAGAACACAACATAAACTGAGCTCATTTACAAAAGAAAAACTATCATATTGCAATAGCACAGGGCAGATGATCAATCCTGTATCTTACAGCGGCAGCTTGAACAGCGCGGGAGTGAGCATCCGAGGCACCGACTTCTGACTCTGCCGACTTCATCCACGCTGCTGCAGCCTGAGCACTGGTCTGTCCTGGTTCATTTGATCCCTTCGGTTTGAGACCATGCTGGGCTACCACAGGATGTGGGGCAGAGGTTGTCTGCCAGAGGAACATAAATTGAGTCCAACATTAATGAGTAATAAATACAAAGAGTACAACACTGTCATGGTCGTAAGTTTTTATCAATAATTTTTACCATTATCGGTAGAAATTCTTGTTCTCTGATGCTCTTGCCTAGAGTATCTAATTTCATTTATTCACAATTTACAGAAATATTTTAAAAGTTTAAATCAAACTAATATGTGAGGCATCATGGTGAAATCAGGCGCTTGGCAAAATAAAAAAATCAAAGATATCGGCATTTTCCCTCCAGTGTGACAATTATTTTCTAATTTTTGTTTTTTGGATCAACACCTTTTATGTCCATTTAAAAACACCTTTCTGTCTGGATTTTACTGAAAAACATTGATTAAAGGCACAAAAATATAAATTTTCAATTTCCAAGGACTCTCAAACTTTGGAAATCACTAAATTTTGGTAGCCATTTTCTCGCTAATTTTACATCTGAAACCAGGCAACCCCGACTTCCGTCAATTGCAAATATCTTTTCTTCTATTCAAGATAGGCCTGTATTTTTTCCATCAATAGATGATAAATGGTCAAATGAAAAAGTTTTACAATGATACCAATAACTCCAGATGCCCAAAAATTGATGAGCGTCTGATTCTACTGCGTCAAGACACATACATTAGTATCTGAAACTGGACATTGCCAAATACATTTAGAAAAATCAATAGAAATGTATAATGTCTTCTCAAACGGTCAACTAGTTATGCCATAAGTCAGGTCAGGAAAGTTCCTGGTACTGATAACATGTAACCCAGAAATAACCTGTTGCACGGACTTGTGTTCTAGCATGACATCAGGTGGCGCATACCTCATTGATATTTTTGGTAAGGGTGGATGAGCCTCACATAACACAAACAGCCACATGTTAGAGGATTTCAGTGAATCACTTCAATGACTTTTGCTGTTCTCACGGTAAAGGTGGGCAATATATCTTTGTCATCCGCAACAGATAAAGATCTATTTCATGTTCTGGTATGTGCCGTAAAAGTGGCCATTAATTACTCAAGATAAGATTTCCTTTTTAAGCCTGACAATTGAGAATTGTGAAACGTAAGTTTTACTGCACCATACTTTTATTAATTAGAAACTCAGCAGTCCAACTTCTATTCTCTGTGTTTCATGTTTTCAAAACCTCACTTTACAATATATATACACAGATGAATTAAACGTGCTGTATGTTACAATAAAATAGACAACGATCACCATACAATTTTTAAAATGTAATTTAGACTAGTCTCATTTTTTGTGTACTCGACATATAATTGAAATATACCATACAATATTTCTCAAAACAGAAGGCTGCAAAATTATCAATTTGATGACGTGTATGATACGTTTGTAAGAGAGGAAAAAAAATAAAAACCCATCTTCTTACCATGCAGACCTAATACTGTAAGATACTTATTCATACACCTCATCATGATCTAAAATACAAATGTGAAGAACTCAATTAAAAGAACAAAACAACCCATGATCAGTTTTTCCTTGCAAAATATTATCTTCAGAATCATCAACACACATTTTTGAGTCTTAATCTTGCGCCCCAAATAAGTCATGACTGCATCAGTAATTCAAATACGTTTTTAAAAAACAATTCTCAAAAAGAAAATGAAATAATACAGACAAATTTCAAGCTGAAAAAATGCAAGAGAATGCAGGACTTTACCGATGACTGGCGTTTTGGTTGATAACTTGCAGGGGGAGGTATAGACGCAGATTTTGCGAGTGCAGGCTTTGCACTGGACACTGGTTGTGACGGCCCTTTGATGATTGGTGGGGGTCTGTCATCCAAGGACAGAGATTTTTTCATTGTCTGAAAAAGGCACAATAATGACTCTCTTCCTACAGCAGAGAATTTAAAAAAAGGCACAGCTACAGTTTCTTTCTTCCAAAAATGATATTGTGTATTTGAATAATTCAAACTATGGTTGTTATATGTGTGAAAAGTGATGAAATTTGGTCAACAAATTAGTGGGATGGCCCTTGGCAGTAGCCCCTTTTCATTGTGAAAATTTCATGAAGATTGGAAGAAAAATGGTGAAGTAAAAAAAAAGAGTATGGAAAAACAGCTTTTTAGAAAACAAACCATAAAGGAAAAAAGAGGGACTTTACGAGGATAAGATGGTGATGACTACCCATTAAAATGCCTGATATGTCACAGATAAAAGGTTTGAGGTGGGGGGTTCTTTTGCGATGAAATAGTTGTTAGGTTAGAGAAGCTGAGGAAGCCAAAACTGCCTCATCTCAAAGTCGATAATCTTGATCCAAATCGGAACTTTCAGCTGCTACACTACCTCCCATCCCCTTTCAACTCTTACTTGGGTAAAGACAAACAGGTATGGTCAAAGCAGCCACATTCAGAAAAAGTCAAATTATTTCATTTACAACATAACGCCATGATACAAAAAATCATGTAGGAGAAAGATATGATTTCACCACATCAGATTCAAGTTCCATATGGATGATAACACTACTTTGACCTCATAAAAAAACACAACATGATCTTACTTCTGAAAGTTTTTCTTGCTCTGACTTCATAGACTCTGCTAATCTAGCATTTTCTGTACGTGAAATACCGATGATCAGCTGCAGCTCCTCCTCTTCCTTCGTTGACTGTTTTTTTACCTGTTCGTATTCTTCTTTTGATTTTCTGTGAACAAAACAGAAGTGGACATGGTATTTTAGGTTATGTTCTCCGCTGTTCTGAAACTAAGAGGCAACTGACTTTGTTCAGGTAGCTCTGTCTGAATTTAAATATTAAAATTTTTTTTGGTTTTTTTGTTTCATGTCGGTGCCAGAAAATGGGGTAGAGATCAGTTTCTGTGCCATTCTACTAAAGCTGCCTATGCGTTGCGAACCCACATCAACACCGGTGTACTTAAGTAAAAAAGTGATAAACTCTGAGATTTTTGCTTCTGTTCACGAGGGATTTGACCAAAGTAATAACATTTTAAAGATTCTAGCCAAAAGCACATTGTAAGCATCAATTGTAATTTTTTGTTTTGTCTGTATTTTGATTATGCTGGATTATGATAAAGGGTGACTCTGGTTCAATTCCCAATAAGAAGTTCCTGAACTTGGCTCATGTCAGGACTTTCCAAGATTCTCTACCAACGTGGTTTGGATGTACTGAAGTCAGAGGCTAAATCAGGAGCACCATATCCTACATGTTCTTTCAGGGTTTAAAGGAGTAGCCTATAAAGAATGAAAAAAGAAATTTTCGTTAAAAGATAAAACAAGTGGAATTCCTATTCCCCCCTCCCCCCCCTATCCATCATTTTCCCCTTCCTCCCCCAATCTCCAACAATTCCACCTACGCAAGGACAGCTATAAGAATCTGATCCTCTGAATCTGTAGGCTTTCCTCGGCCAGAAGCAACACCCCCTGAATCCTTGACCAGACTCTCGGGGAGACTGCCGTCCATCATCTGAGAGATGAGCATCAACGCCTGCTGCTGCAGCTCCAAGTTCTTCTGGGCCATGATCCGCACAAAGACGGGAAAGTCTTCAGTCGCCAGCACTTGTTCAAACAACACCTAGTGGGGAAAAAACAAAACAAAAACAAAATCAAAGTTACTTTTTGCTGCTGTTGTGCAAAACAAGATACAGTCAACATTTTCTAAGACAGCTACCAATCCTATTGTCAAGAAGAAAAGTGTTTGTCTCAGAAAGGTGTTTGTCTGACATGGTGTTATGATACTGTAAAAAAATATGCAAGGAAGGAAACGTTTTAGTTTAGTTTTAGTTTTAGTAAGAGTTTTACGGCACTTGCAACCCAATAAGGTCATATAAGTGTCGAAGATTAGAGGTGTTACAAGAGAGTAAGGAACACAAAAAAGAAGGAGGAGAGATAAAGACGACAGTTGTTTGATAGGAAAGAAGGAGTAAACCACACCAGAGCACCCACCAACCACCCACGGAAGGAAATGGGAAGTGACCGTTTGTACAGGTGACTGTTTTATATACTGGTGGCCATTAGAACAGGTTTGACTGTATTGCAAAAAGAATAAGGGAACCATTGTTTTTTTTGTTTTTTTTTACAAATCATTCCTGATTATCCTTGTACTTAACGGATATATAATGACAAAAAGACATTCAATGAAAGTTAAGATATATTGCTTTAACCAGGAAAATTTGGCATCTCCAATGTGAGCATATGCAGTACGCAATACCAACATCGCAACCTAACTCCTTACACAATCAAGTCAGATAATAATAAATCCTTTGAGAGGCTGCTGCTCATTACAGTTTAGCTTCCATGTTTCACCTTGGACACGTGCTGTATGTAAGCGAAGTAGGTATGGAAATATGGACCTATAAACAGTGTGAAGTCATACTTAAGTAGCTTAATCTACTATAGAGGACTTTCTTTTTTCTTGCTGTTCTTAAGAAAGATTTTCCATCTAAGTTAAGTATTAAGTATGCATTTTGCATTTCCTTTCTTTTTCTATCCCCCCCCCCCCAGTCAAATTAAAAAAAAACCCCCAAAGATATTTCTTTTTAATCTCACAAATACATGACCTGGTTTATTTTGAACTTTTAACTGAGTAGGTCACATCATGGACACGCTTCTGACCTGAAAGATGTCCCTGAGGTCAGGTTTGGAGTTTAAATCTTTCATGGCCTTGATGATTTGATCGTGTGTCAGTCCAGTGTCAGTTCGGAATCCTTCCAGAAGAAGATCCACCTAGACAAGGAAAGAAGAAACAGCAATAACAATAATAAAAGTAATAATGATAATAATAACAATAATAATAATAATGATAATGATAACAATAAAATA